TATAAAAAGTTAGTTCCCCTTTGGGTTAGTGGTAAGTTTTCGGACTTAAACCGCTAAAATCCGGAATTTGATTCCCTATAGTTAGCAGAGCACAGACAGACAATTGTGTCATGGCCAGGTGGTTAGGACGCTCGACTCGCAATCTGCGGGTCGCTGGTTCGTATCCCCGTCCCACCAAACATGCTTGCCCTTTCAGCCGTGGGGGCGTTATAATGTGACGATCAATCCCAGTATTCGTTGGTAAAAGAGTAGCCCAAGAGTTGGCGGTGGGTAGTGATGACTAGCTGCCTTCCCTGTAGTCTTACACTGCTAAATTAGGGACGGCTAGAGCAGATAGCGCAAACAAACAAGCCCATTGTGTAGCTTTGCGCTAAAAACAACAACAATAACATTATAAAAAGGGGTAGTCTTTTATTGACCAAAATGCATTATGATATATTTAAACCTACAAAAATTTAATAAAACAATTAATTAAATTATTCACTGCCATATAGCAGTGAATGAGTGCTAAATAACGCCATCATTGCCCAATGCTATTAACTAATAAATGTAACAACAGAATATATCGCCCAGCTTTTTTTTTTCTATTTCTGTGAGGCTCAAATATTTGATATACTGTAAAAGGATTACAATACAGTAAGAGATAAGTTCATTTTGTACATAAAAAATCATAAGCATGAGATGTTCGTTCACAGAGACAGTTAACTAGTATATCCCAGAGAGGCGTTAACCTCTTCCTGGTGAGAGGGATGAGGCGGGCTCACTAAAAATTGAGGGCAGTACACTCTACATCTTATGAGCGCACACACTTTAGTATTTAGTAAGTAAACCACCGGTTTTAACAGTAAGCATTGTTTATTTCGGATTCAGCCAAACCAAGCCCCCCCCCTCCCCTTACCACCGTTGCTTAATGGAACATGTACTTGGGCCAAAACAGTTTTCTAACCATGTATCTGATTTTAACCTTAGTAACAAATCCTCATCTCTACGACACAAAGTAAGATGAGTATCCTCGCAAAATCACTAAAACGTGCGTAAAACGCGTGTACATCATTACTTCGCGATAGTCGACTGTTTTAACTCTAGAAATACCGACTTTTAAAATGTGTTTTTATAAAATAATTATGCACCTTTTTTTTTGTTTGTAGGTCGTGACGTTATTGTTTACAGTAATGTATGTGACAAGAATTAAAACAAAAATACCATCAAAATTGTAATTAATTAATTCCTTCATTTAATTTTACATAGAAAACGGGTGATTTTACCCCATTTTGTTTTTAGTCAGTTACTTACACTGAAAGTTGTAAGAGGCTAAAAACAACAACATATATCATGTAGATCACAACATACATATTACAATATTACAGTTTTTGATGGAATTATATGTTATTTAGAACAGACTTACTTGAATTCTGCTATTATTTAGCTTTTGGAGTTCATTTATAATTCATAGAGCTCAGTTTTGCAAGCTACTGGCGAACGAGACTTTTTTTTTGCAAACAATATTGTTATTTCGTGATAACAAAATCAAAGAAAAACGCTCATATGCATTGAATAAGTAAGTTGTATCAAGGCGTTTTATACATTAAGTATGACGCTTGCAATATATTTTATTATTTGCTGGAAGAAATGATTTGGTTGTTATTAAGCATAAAGACACATAATGGACTATCTGTGCTCTGCCCACCATGGAAATCGAAACCTGAATTTTAGCGTCGTAAGTCTGAGCCACTCGGGAGATGCTGAACATATACTTTCTCTCTCTCTCTCTCTCTTTTTAACACAACTTTCAATTTGACTTTACTAAGACAAACTTATAAGACTTTTATCCAGGCTTATTTCACTTTTTCCAGTGTCTCTATACACTTACAAAGTACAAATTAATAATATGTAGAACTCTGAGTAACAAATTGTGCCATTAATTATTAATACTTAGTATTCAGAAAGAATAGGATACGCGTACTTGTACAAACAAGTTTTCCTACTAAATACATTTTGAGAAAATACACAAGACAGAAGCAAAATCTTTGTCACTTGGAAAATGTGCTGTATTGCTTGTCGTGAAAAAAAAATAACGATTCATGAATTTCTAAATAAATGTGAATTTGTTTTGTTGTTATATTTTTGATAGAGCTTCTTTCTTTTTTTTTTGCATTGTTAGTTTAGTATATATGTTTAGGACTCACCTAAATCTTCTAAGTTAGCTGACTCTCGTGATATATTATTAGGATTACAGCCAAAAATATCGCTAATAACGAGGGTACTCAACTGATAAAACAATTTATTCTAATCAATATCAGCAAAAACATTTCAACAGCGTATTTAATTAGCTAATAAATAAGTAGAAAAATGCGAAGGTGATAAAATAAAGAAATTAGACTTTTGGAGAGAAATCACCTTAAAAAACTATTATAGGCTTGTTTCTGGCTTGAAAAAAAAAGAGCGTTTGCTCGAAACGTCGCCGAGTAAATAAATTACTACCACAGTTTTTAAAGGTGATTTTTCCCTAAAAGTCTAATTGATTTAATTAGCTGTACTTATTACGAGGCTGAAGTTTAGTTTTCATCTAAGTAGGTAGCTCGCTTTGTTAGGAAGTTAATACTAATTCGATAGCTAACAGAATTTAACTTAATTTAGTTTATTTTCTAACCGAAGAAATAATTTCAAGAACACGGTTTGCTAGTGTTAATAAGCAAGTAACTTGTCCGAAAAAAATAATTTAAAACAAAACAAGTAGAATACTAAATGTATTTTGTGAAGTGAAAGAGAAATACCAGTCAGCATCGAAACATTTAATTTACTGATAGCTTGCTAAAATCGAAACAATTTGTGTACTTTAGAAACATTACAGAATAAATAAATAAATCTGATAAACATTTCTTTTCACGAATACGACAACAACTAAATCTTACATAATTAATCTAAACAGGCAGTTGCCACTAAACAGACCGTATTTACAAACTAGTGTTGAATATCTATTTCGAAAAATCAACTCTAATAACAACGGGCCTGAAGAAGAAAACGTGTGTAATATGCAATTCGAAAAACCATCAACCCTAGTAATAACAGCAATGGGCCTGAAGAAGACAACGTGTGTAATTTACAATAATGAACACGAAATGTTGAATTCTTTGAAGTCAAGATTTGCACACGATAAATGGACAGGTTTTGCCGTTGTTATTTGACTCTGTGTCATAGTCATGAAGATATTGTGCTAAACTTAGAACTGAAACACATGTTTTCGCAAAAACGACTTCGTTCGTACGGTCAAAAGCTTGTTTATTGAAAGAGCATTTTCTGACTACACCAAATCCATTCTGACAAATCGAAGTAATGTCTTCAGTTTTGACATACAGACAGGGTTTTTTTGTGTATGGATATGTTTTTGTATGTATTAAAAGAAAACAGGTTTTATGGTTTTGAACAAAATGGTTGTGGTTACGGGTTGTTTTACTCAAAGTACAACGTTAGCATCGAGTTCAAAAAGTAGCCTATAAAACATAAAATTGTGCAAACTTGGAAATATATGGTTTAATTTCAAAGAACTAGGCAAAAACAAAAATAGTGTCCCAGATGTAGGAGAGGTAAATAAAACTACATAATACAAATTAAAGAATGAAACTTGTAAAAGGAAATATATCTATGGTAGAAGGACTTACCAGTAGCGTATTTATCACTTCCCCTACTAGCAAACCTCACAAGGGAAATGAAATTATAATTTCAATAAAACAAGAACTTAAGTTTAAGACCTGATATTAATACTCAAGAGCACCACACTTTACATTTAATATTGCAATTTATCATCTACAGCCACTTGTGGGGATACAGTTGCTCTTATAGTAACAGAAAAAGAATAAAACGCATATAGGTTATTAACAATAAACCGATGGAGAATAATAGGTGGAGCGCATGAACTGAAGTGGCATGACAAATCTGAAAATAGTTACATATATGAACGTTTTTTGTTGTTATTGAATTTCACGCAAAGCTACACGAGAGAGAGGGCAGCTAGTCAACACCACCCACCGACAAGTTTTTGAGCTACTGTTTACCAGCGAATAGTGGAACTGACCGTCACAATATAACTCCCCATGACTGAAAGGGCGAACATGTTCGGTGATGGGATTCAAACCTGCAAACTGCAAAATGCGAGTCGAACGCCCTAATCACAAGGCCACAGTATGCCCCAAACCTTTGAGTAAACTAATTATTTGACATTAACAATGTTTAGTAGCTAATAATGTAAAAATGCATAAATTGTGGGTCCCAGTGCCTTTGAAGTAGTTTTAGAAGATTTTTTTATGTATAGTTTTATCATAGACACTACTACTACGCAACGCAGTAATATATAGTATCCACAGTTCTTACTGTTGAAAGAGATGCTCACGAAATCTCGCTGTGTGAACGTGCTAATAATGTAAAAATGCATAAATTGTGGGTCTCAGTGCCTTTGAAGTAATTTCATATCAAAGTTAGGAGTTGTTGTTTTTTGTACAGTTTTATCACAGACACTATTTATACGCCACACAGTAATATATAGTATCCACAGTTCTTACTGTTGAAAGAGGCATTCACGAAATCTCGCTGCATGAACGTGTCTCTTTGAAAAACAAAGAAACAAAGATGATAGTGCTAGATTAATTTCCATGATCTATATATGTGTGTGTGTGTAATTCCAAGCATGTATGGAAATAGTTATGGTATATAACACTTTATACCAACGATGTGTGATCTGTATGTACATCGGTGGTTTATGTGACATTGCATAAGTCCAGTAAAAACAGATGTGTTATTATCAATGTTGTTATGATGTAATGTCTCACAAACAACCATTGTATCCAGATGTTTGTACAGTACATCAAGTTTACTTCAAATTCTATAATTTATTCTCAGCATTTCCGGTGATAACCCAAACAACATAAAGCGCTTTAAAAAAAAGAAGTTTACAATAAATGACAGAAGAAAGATAATAAACTTTTATTTTTCTAATTTTCAAACAGGAGTACTGAAGACATTCGTGAAAGAAATTCTTCGATCTGGTGATGTAGTGTTCGCGACCCGCATCGTCTGGACCGGAAATGGAACGATATGGAAGCCACTCTATTATATTCAGATCAAGAGAGCCTCCAGTAGTAGTAATAGTGATGTCGGCACCGAAGTGGAAGAGCGTCATAACTATTCTTTGGAGGAGAATAGACCCTGGCTAGATGACGAATCAACTACTAGACCCTGGCTAGATGACGAACCAACTACAGTTCAAAGTGTATCAGAAACAGAAGACAAGGTTTCAGAGCAAAGCGATCATATTCTAGGACAGTGGACGGAACCGTACTACACTTGTAATGGAAGGAAGTGGATCTTGTCCTACACGAACCTGTTATACACAACATCTAAAGGAGGTAGAAGTAAGAAAGTCAGTGAACGGTACGTGTATGAAATTGACTATTACCGCTTTTTCACTTTTTTCACTTCTTAGACAGCGAACGAAGCTAATAACTGCTCAGTTATGTTTTAGTTTAGTCAAATGTTTCTCGTGACACATCACAAATAATAGTTGATTGAGTGCATATCATTCAATCAATGGTGTTTAATAAGAGTAAAAGATCAAAGATAATATGATAATTTAAAAAGTAAAAAAAGAAAAAAAAGAAAAGCTTACGACAATGTTCATAGTACTTTTTTTCCTCACGGTAGCTCTGTGGTAAGTTTGAGGGTGGGCATAGCATGGATAGCGCATAGTATAGCTTTGTGCTTAATAACAAACATACCAAAAAAACAATACGTTTTACCTTTAGCCTAGGCCTAGCAATATTTTGAAAACACCATGTACCGTAAAGTAACATCTAAGTCCCTTCAATCATTGAGGTTTCGACTCCATTTAACTCCATATATATAATGAAGGCATGTCAAGCTGATGAAAATCTGAATGTCGATTCAGAGAAGAATAATGAATGATTTATTTCGTACTTAAGGTAAGATGGTGGTGATCGGTTATCAATCATTATCATATTTAGTAGCCTAACTTCTTCAGTATTACAAACCTTGTCCATTCTGAAAACTAGGCAGTCTATGCCATCTGTCTTTACAATGATGGGATGGTTTTACTTGTAGTCGAGCTATTTACCTCTATCAGTGGGTTTCTTGTAAACTTTTGTGATATATGAATTATGTATCTGGGTATCTAACTGTTGGAGTTTTTACCTTTCTTTTTCTATACTCATTGTGAATTGTACCAGGGAATTTTATCTGTTCATTTTTATGAATTCTTGAATCTTGTCTGTAGTGTATAGCCATACGAATGTATTGCCAACATATCTAAGTCGGGGCGTAGAGTGGCTGTTTTGAGGGCGTTAGCTTAGAAATTTTTAATACAAAGATTACCGAGTACTGATGATAGGAGTTGTAGGTATTCATCTTCATGTTAGAAGTAGGTTGTCTTGATACAGAAAGTTGTGAGTTATGTTATTGTGGAAATTGTCAGTTGGGTGTGTTTCTTAAGTGTTCTGTCAATTTTGTTGGAGGAGTATGTACAGTGTGTCAGAGATTGGTGTCTTAGTAAAGAGATTGGATGCGTCGCATTGTGTCTTGAGATGCTATCATGGTTGATTTTATAATATATATACAAAATGATTTGAGTTCTGAAAATGTGAAGATGTTTTACATGTTAATGGTGATATTGTACATACAAGATATTTAGCTTAGAGATGACGTGGTAAATCCATACAGTTAACCATGGGACGGAAATGAAAGTATTGTTTGTGGATTTTTAGGTAGACCATATATGTGTGGAGTTAGATATTTTTGTTTACTGTTAGTTGTTTGACTGTTTCTGTTCCAAGTTCTTTCTGGTGTTTCTTGAGGAACTGGTAAATTTTCTTTTTTGTGTTAGCGGTTTGATTAGTCTCGATCCTCGTGTAGTGACCATCTTCAACTAGAGTTCGTAGAAGCAAAAAAACAAAACGAAAACATCCACTTAATGGAATGAAACAGTTAAAATTTAGAAAACACGTTTATTTATTGGCTACCATTGTCACAGTACTTCTGATCGTAGAGTCAGAACAGGCAACAAATTAACAAATGACTGAATAATGCGTACATTTTTTTTCTTTAACAGTAAAAGGTGGATTTCCACTAAGGATGTTACTTTTCCCTCTTAGATGGTTGGGTGCAAAGTCCTTTCTCCGTTTCAGACCATGATTCCACATGTATCCATATTTATTGCTTTATTGTCACAAATATAAGTTGCTTGTTTAACATTTTTGTTACCAAATCACTTAGCAATAGCTGAATTTCTTCTCGATATTAGTTACCATAGCTATAATTTTCTTTTTTTATAAATCACGATTATGCCTGTAATATTATATATATATATATTTTTGTTTTACAAAATACTGGTCATTGGCACAATGAAAACATGAACCACCATCGCTTGAGCAAACTACAAATAAAATTAGGCCCAAACAATAATCATATGACTGATAAGGTTGAAACAATACATTTCTTTCTTTTATTTAAATTTTGCAAACATATACAATGACTAACAATAGTTGCATGAAGGATTCTTCCTTGGAACAGTTACAGTTAAGGTAGAAATCCTGTTAGATTTGGAAATTCTCACAATTATTAATCTGTTAAACTAACTACTAGTAGGCTTACGAAAGTCAGTGTTGAATTCCAGTCATAACAGAGACGTTGACGATTTGTGTCGTCAATAAAACTTATGACCACTTCCAACGTAATAAACAGGCAAAGATTGTTAACCTTGACAGATGTGCACCTTGAGAACCATGTTGATGCTTTTATGAATCTTAACAACTAATATCAAAGCAACTTTGAACGATTACTTCATTTTCAGAATCGATAAATTAACAAAATCATAATTTCCTCTCACGCTTGACATTAATGAGAAAGTAGTATATATAAAATAAATAATATTAGCCATTTATGTGACCAATATGAGCTTCTTGATAAATAAAACAGATCGTTATTTTGTACTGCGCTACAATGATCATAAGATATTTACAATACATTAATATTTTCTGTTGGTTGTATCAAACTATCATCCCACCAGTGGCACGGCGGTGTGTCTGAGGTATGTGGGCAGAGCACAGATAGCCCATTGTATAGCTTTGTGCTTAACTTCAAACAAACAAATCATCGTTAACAATATGGCACAAAACTAACAGTTTGTTTGAAGTAATGCAAAAAACTACACAATGGGCTATCTGTGCTTTGCCCACCACGGGTATCGAAACCCGGTTTCTAGCGTTGTAATTCCGCAAATATACCGTTGTGCCATTGGGGGCGTTAACGATGATGGTTAGCTGCTTATATATATTTATGTTTTAGTTCTAGTTGTTTAAAAATTAACCATATAGCTCAGTTGTTCGAGCTATATGCGTTATATTGTATTTGACGACGATTTTATAATTGTAATCTACATTTGTGTTAAAGTAACCTGAAAAATGGCATAATGTCAGGAAACCGATTGTGTTCTAAGTAAAAATTATAACAAAATCAAAAGAACTCAAAAGTTTTCTCTTTTTTTTTCTTTTCTGCTTCATTTACATTACCTCTGTGTTATAGTGACAGCATGTATACATATATATATGTGTATGTATATATATATATATATATATATATACTCCGGTTCGTAACGACAGTTCAGCAGTTACGACAACTCACAATAATATTCTAATATCAGTTCAGTCGTTGCATTTCTCCTAGGGAACATTTGTTTTTGAAACCACATGTCCTATATAAATTCAATAGAGCTCAGCAACATCTACAATGCTGCGAAACCCTAGCAAAGGTAATTTGTAATTTATGCTTAGAAACTGGCCAACAGAACTTATGATACCACAATGATTTCGATTGATAATTATTCAAGCTAACTAATCTTGTAAATTTATGTAAACATATTTTAGATATTTGTATATTTCTCATATTTGATATTTTGATTTTGGTGTTTATTCAAGAATTATAAGCATTACATATAGCAGTATAAGATGTTATATGTCCATAAAATTATCTCTGATGAGCTAAATAGCTGAAACATTCAATTGGATTCTTGTCCAATCATATGGTATATTACTTGTAATTATCATAGCACAAAATCCCAGTGCTTATCTTTCGCATAATTGCAACAAACGCCAGTACTAGTAATATAATTTGATTCTAATCGTGAATTTTGTTTCTTTTGAACGTATACAGTTTAATTGGAGCACTAAGCGTGGACATTGACGTCACCAACATGGATATAAACCAATGCGACAGCCCTTGGAAACCTAACAACTCTAGCATCACCTATTGGCAGATGAATGCATTTTTAGGGACTCACAAATGTCATAACAAAACTAGCGAAGTAAGTTTTTCTTTTTTAACGTAATTGATTATCATATGTGAATAAAAACACAACTGTCTTACAATGAAATTCGGCAGAATTCATTAAGTATAACATAATTAGAAACTTAATTATTTCTCCAGTAAAGTAAAGTAAGTCTTTGGGGGGGGGGGCATTTTTGTAAATATTCCATGATTTACTTCAAATAGATCCAAAATTGGAGGTACAAAAGTAGACAATATAATGGTAACATTCGTTCACATAAAGCACGTTACAGTCACGACTTCAGAGAATTTTAAAATATTATTAACACGAACAGCTGCCGTGAAAATTGACAATTTTAGGTGTTCAAGGAAAAAGTAAATAGAGTTATGACGTTTATAGCAGATTATAAACATTAAGAATTATTAACTTTGGAATTAGTTGATTTGGTACAAATGGGGAGTAAGTAATAAGCAATCTTCTAATGAGACAGGAATGAGTAAAAGTGTAGTATTTATATAGAAGAAGACAATA